CCAAAAATAAAAAAATTTACAAATGCAATAAAAATATTGGTATCGGTACTCTGTATCGGCAAGTACCAAAAATAAAAGTATCGGTATCAGGCGAGTACTGGAAAAAGTGGTATCGGTGCATCCCTACATATAAATGCACTTTTTAATTTCAACAATTACTAATTCATTTTTAGAATTAGCCACCTTGGTTAAATCTGGCGCATTTTACATTGATTTTATGTATTATTAATATGCATTGTTCCTGATTGAAAGAAAGAAAGAAAGAAAGAAAGAAAGAAAGTATTGTGCCTTTCATGCACAATAGACATGAAAAATAAATAATTCAGAAGAAAAAATAATAAATTCTGTAAATATATATATTGCTCAATGCATTAGCCAATAAGACCTTGTTGTAAACATTTTTAAAAGGAACTTCTTTTGACAGAAAATAAATGTATTGAAAAGAAAGCGAGGTGCATGAAGCGTCTGATCCTGAGAGAGTCTGAGGAGAGCAGTGGCAGGGTTTGTGTGTGAAGCAGCGCTCTGCTGTTTGTTTTACAGCCAGAGCAGAGGTTTTCATGTGGGCAGACTTTATTTTGGAGGCGAGCGCTCTGTCTTTGTAGTTACCTTGTTTGATCTGAGCTTGCAGGGCCGGGCTGGAGGCCTGCGTGGTGCTTTTTCTCAGGGTCTCAGGGGTTCCTGGTCTTGGGGGCCTGAAACACAAAAGGCCAAATTAAATATTTAACACACATCCAACAGCACAGAATTTAACATCAGACCGGTGCGAGTGTGTGTGTGTATTTATACAGGTCTGTGAGTGTGAGTGTGTGTGTTTGTGTGTGTGTGTGTGTGTGTGTGTGTATTTATACAGGTCTGTGAGTGTGTGTGTGTGTGTATTTATACATGTCTGTGAGTGTGTATAAACCCCTGAATACATTCATGTCAACGTGTGAGAGAACAAAAACTAATATTTTTGTTAATAGTTTTGTTAGTCTAACAAAGTAAATCCTGTTGGCAATAATGAAATATTTCTGTATTGTTTTACTTGAATGCTGCAGTTTCAAGTGAATCAAGAAGACCTCTTTTCCTTAAATATATTGGTTCCAAAAATAAAATAAAATAAAATTGAAACTTAAAAACCTTTGTCAGCCAGGTAAGAGCACTTTTTAATCTCAACATTTACTAATAATTTTTGAGAATTAGCCCCCTTGGCTGTATCTGATGCATTTTACATTGATGTTATGTATTAGTCAGAAATAATTAACATCCTATTAACAAGAACAAGCTAGTACAATGTAAAGGTTTCACAAACACATTTTTTGAAGGATGCTAAATATTGTCTAAATACTGTATAGTCAACACCAAACAGGGTTATTATACTTAAAACTAAAACCATTAAACAGATTTTGGTTAACTGAAATAATCTTTAACTGAAATAAATTAAAATATAAAACTTAAAACTTTATTTCAGCAAGTTGGCAAGGCAACATTTCTACTAACATAACTAAAATAACTAAAACTGAAATTTTATATAATTTTTATTAATGAAAACTATATAGACATTTGAAAAAAAACTATAGAAAGGAAAAAAACAAAACACAAAACAAACCTACTAAAACTGAAATGAAAATAAAAAATAGAAATTTAACTCAACCCTGACACCAAAATCCCAGAAATATTGAGATATCAGTTTTTGTTAATATTGCACACACCTAAGGCAAATGCTTTGGATTTTTTACTCCATATTAACTCCTGGAATCCAATTAAAATAGGATGGAATAAAATAAAAATAAAATGTTATAAAATAAACAATTTATAACAAAAAGTCTAAAATATATATTCAAATTAGGGAGATAGAGCTTGCATTGATACATTAATTTTATACACATAAAATTAAATACAATTTATATTATAATCGATTATAATTCAATATTAAATCCAATAAAATACATACACTAACAGTGGTTCAACGGATCACAAATCTCACGGTTCGGATCACATTACGGTTTTTGACCCACGGATCGGATCATTTTTCGGATCAGCAAGAAAAGAAAAATATTTCAATTTAACTTGCTTTCCATTTACTTAAAGCGAAGTACTTCTTTGATACCACAGCAAATACTACTAGATTAACTAAGAAAGTTTAAACATGATTAAAGACACAAGAGAACAGCCAGTAAAAATAAGAACAAATACACAAATTACAAGCATAGATAAATACAACAGAATATGCTACAAATAAAATAAGGTTGGTAGTATTCAAATCCAAAATATGAAATAATTAGGGAAAATAATAGTGCATAGTGTTCACTGTATATATTAAATAAAAATATAGATTTTTATCACAGCTGTTTTGTTGTTTGATGATCATTAATGACAGCAGCAGTATTTATAGGCCGCTGTCCCTTTAAGACCTGATGCACGGATCCGATATAATGATACACATC